TGGGAATGTGTACGGTGTGGGAAAACCATTTTACTTTTTTTCCTCTGCCTGAGCTGATGGTGACGGGTGGCGCGCCTCGCGGCAGTGAAATGCGGCTCTTCATGGAGCACAAGACTGTGGATGGCTGTTTTTTAAGGACACAGATATCTTTTCAGAAATCTCTGAGATTTTCACCAATGAATACCTGGAAAATTTACCGGTATGCCCTGTACCCTAGAAAAAAGTGCTGGTATGCTGAAAGGTTATATTTAGAAGTGGTGGCGGTACCGGTCCAAATCACTGCTCTCTGTCTCTAAAGGGTATGAGTCTGATGGTCTGATCATCACGCTGTTTCTCCCTCCCCATCCCACCCGGCACAGCATGGCACACTGCATGATAAATAATCTGGCCCAAAAAGTCCACCTTAAACCAGTTCTCCCAACATGATCACATACAGACCAGCCAGGGCATGCATCTGTGGCCACAGCTTTCTTCTCTTTCAATCTCTCCTTTTCTGCTCCATCTTTCCTGGCCCGTCTAGGTGCAGTGGGGGGTGTCTGCAGCACTTTGCCAGATCCTGACAAAGTGTGTGTGTGTGTGTGTGTGTGTGTGTGTGTGTGTGTGTGTGGGGGGGGGGGGGGGGGGGGGGGGTCTTTGTGCCCAGCTTGCTCCGTTTGTATGAGCATCAGGAGCAGATGCCCTGATGAGCTGCATGATGGATTGTTCATTTGGATGTTATGCACATCATGATCACTGAGCTGTCCAGTTTAACGGCCAGGCCACCGGGAAATCTTCTGTTCCTCCCGATTACCAGTCCGCCATTAGTTGAGGGGATCCCTTTTGGTAGCCTAGAGATCAGGTCTTGGCTTGTTGCTGATGATGTGGTCCTGTTGGCTTTATCAGACTGTGATCTCCAGTTTTTGCTGTAGCGGTTTGCAGTTCAGTGTGAAGCAGCTGGTATGAGAGTCAGCTCCTCTAAATCTGAGCCTCAAGCCTCACTGCCTCAAGTAGAGGACTGCAAGTATCTCAGGGTCTTGGTCAATAGTAAGGGAAAGGTGGCAAACATCTGCAGTGATGCGGGCATTGTACTGGTCTGTCATGGTGAATTTTCTCAGCAGGGTGTTTGGGCTCTCCCTCAGAGGTAGGGTAAGAAACTCAGGGTGGATTCAGGATGGGTTCGGAGTAGATCTGCTGCTCCTTCACATTGAGAGGAGCCAGTTGAGGTGGCTCAGACACCAAGTTAGGATGCCTCCTGGACTTCTCCCTGGTGAGGTTTTCTGGGCATGTCCAACCAGGAGGAGACCCAAAGGAAGACCCAGGACATACTGGAGGGTCTGTGTCTCAGCTGGCCGGGCAACACCTTAGGATTCTCCCAGAGGAGCTGGCTCATGTGGCTGGCCAAATACTTCCTGTTCCAAATTATTATGCAAATGACGAATTTCTCATTAATCTAAATAATTGATGTAAACAACAGTCAAAATAATTCTCATTTCAATTATCAACTATGAAGAGTGCATAATTCTAATGTTGTTGCAACAAACTCCAAATGGTAGCAGTAGTGTTATTTTAAATGATTAACTTACAATGAACTATTTCAAATTATTAGGCACAGGAAGCTTCAAAACGAAGAACTGAAAATTGTCATCTGTTGTGTGTGTGCAGCTTATTTACTCAGATCAAAGCTATTTCAATCAAACTAGACAACATTTTAACATTTTAACAGGTCACGTTACACAGGACCCAGCTTCACAATCCTTGCATCCATTGAACTTGTGAGTTTTTGGGCAGTTTCTCCTTGAATTTGTTTGTAATTTGTCCGAACAGCCTCCCAGAGCTGCTGTTTAGAAGTAAACTGCCTCCCACCCTCATAGATATTTTTGCTTGAGGTGCTCCAAATGTTCTCAATTGGACTGAGATCCAGGGAGGATGGAGGTCACACCAAGACTGTCTCTCCTTTTATCCCCATAGCAGCCACTGATGCAGAGGTATTCCTCGCAGCGTGAGATGTCGTGCATTGTTGTTCATGAAGATGACTTTATAACAGAAGGCATAATTCTTCATTCTGTACCAGGGGAGAAAGTGGTCAGTCAAAAACTCAACATACTTTGCCAAGGTCTTCTTCACACCTTCAGGGACTCTAAAAGGGCCGACCAGCTCTTTTTCCATGTATCCAGCCCAAAACATGACTCCACCACCTCCTTGCTGATGTCACAGCCTTGTTGGAACACTGTGGCTGTCCACCAACCGTCCACTACTCCATTCATCCATCCAGGGTCGCACGGCACTCCTCTGTGAAGAGGACTGCTGGAAAGTGAGTCTTCAGGTATTTCTCTGCCCACTGCTTGTGAGCACTGTTTAGTGGTGGCCTAACAAAAGGTTTACTGTGGGACTCCAGAGGCACCAGCAGCTTCAGATCTGTTTGCTGCCACCTAACGACGTTATAGCAGCTGCTCTCTGATCTGATGCATGGTTCTGGCAGAAATCTTCCTCTGTTTGCTTTCATATGCACAAACGTGTCTGTACTCCGAATCAGCCATTAATCTCTTGATAGTGCGATGATCACACTTACGTTTTCGAGAAATGCCTAATGTTGTCATACCTCATCCAAGGCACTGAACTATTTTACAGAGAGATCCTTTTTCTTCCCCATATTGGTTGCTAACCGTGGTCTGCTAAATAATGTGGACGTTTGTCCTTTAACTGGACACACCTGGTGAACTAACTGTCACAGATGTTTGAGATTTCTTCCAGGGATCCAAAGAGCCCGGACACACGATGCCATCCATAAGTTCAACTGAAAACAAAAAAGTTGAATCTCTGTGACACTTAAATAGAATTTGCATAATAATGGGGAACAAGGTGTAATGGTGGTAAACACGCTTGTGTAAGATATTTATAATATCATAATATACAAAAACAAAGCCAGCATTTTACAGAAAATAGAACTTTTTCAAACTTTTTGCAAGGAGTGTAATGGCATTTATTATCATTCAACATCTTATTAGTACTCGTATCGGTACTCCGTATTGGAAAGTAATCAGAATTAAGTACTTGTACTGGTAATCGGTTTGAAATGATCTGGTATTGATGCACCCCTAGTTATAAATACTTTTCCTTAGCCTTTATAGGCTAGCGGCAATCTGCTTCTTCTGATTATAAAAGCTTGTTAAATATAAAAATGACACATCACTGCCACCAAGTGGTTAGACTCTTCCGTGCTTGATAAACTTTATTATCAACTGGAAGTTTCTAGTGGACTTCTAGATGGAACTGGCTGCCCAACTGTGGGCCATGGCCCTATGGGAAAGAATGGCTATTTTACATGACACAGTTCCAACAAGGTAGAGGGATTAAAAACACATCAGTGCAGTTCTTGGAGGAATTTTTATCAATTTGTGTGGTGTATAAATTAGATGACACAACTGACCTGTAGCTGGTGTTGAAATGGCCCAATGTCTGGTTGGTCCTGCGGTCCCTGTTCCTGGAGAGTCTCTTAGGGAAGTCACGGTTTGTAGGCCATGGTCACCATGCACTCCAGGTCTCTCACTGTAGCTTGTTTGATTGTGAAGGCCAGGGAAGCTGCTTGTTTGAGCAGTACCTGGGGATGAGGACAAGTCTACATAGCAAAGTATCTCATTGTTAACAATGACCAACGAGGTACACTTGTCCTGTAAAACTCACCACAGCTAATCTCATCAGAATGATCGCTGCAGTTTGGCTGACCATCACAAAGCTCAACCACAGGAATGCACTCTGCACTGTTTTGGCATGAAAACTGGCCTGGTTTACAGTTCTTCCCAACCCCAGAGGGAGATATCACACTGGTAGTGGTCACCGGCTCATCTGCAACAGCACAGACAAACATTTAAGGGAAAAGAGTTACAGCACAGTACTACTGGAAACCAGAGTTTCAACGAAAAGGTTTCAAGAAGAAGTCTTGACCTCTGCAGCCGAGAATTTCCACTCGAAGGTAAAAGATGTGCCTGAACGCCACAGGGATGATACGTATGTAGCGAGCTTGTACCAGGCGACCAAGCCAGCGGGTCACAGGGGTCCTCCCAATCATCTGAACTTCAAAAACCTACAGGGATATATAGACGGTTAGGTTGTAAAAAGAAACACAAACTCACCGATTTGACTCTTTAAGAAGGCAAATACCTTTGCAGGACTGCCGAGCTTTCCATTTGCTGTAAAATCTGTGAAGAGGCCACTATGTAGAGCTAACGCTAGGCGATATGAAGTGAGATAACCCCCCGTGCTTTCACTGCCTTGTGTTACCACCCCTGATATCCATATCGGCTCCAGGAAGTCCACCTGAAAGTATGGCTGGGGATCTGCAGTTAAGGGGCTCCAGCCAGGTTCCATTCCCTGACTGCAAAGAAGCAGACCAGAGTGAGTGGTCCCTTTTAACAGCAGATCTTTATCAGAAGACCAGGCGACGGGTGAGGCCCACAAATAAGACAATACATTATGCACACATTTATAAGCAGAATCCATGTATTGGTCAGGACTATGATGATGCTTGAAGAAGCTGTCTGCTTCTAAAGACACTCACATGTTGGGCACAATGTTTAGTCTTCCAGCATCAGCTGGGTTGTCTTCGTGGTGTGAGGATGACGACAGCTGACCATAATGAATTCTCCCATCTTCCAATCCAAGAGGAGAGGAGCAAGGGCCTGAAACATGGGAGTATTATTAACCCTAACCCTACTAATCCAGTTAACGGTGGAGAGAAACCCTTACCATAGTAGCCCTGGCCACCAGCCTGTAGGTCAGATTAGAACAATGCCATTAGACACATCAACCTTAAAACAAGTACTTTTAGAAGATGCGTCCTTACCGTTCCAGCAGATTGAGTAATGGCAGCCATGGATGGAGTCCTCAGAGGAGTCGGGGTGGCTGTGTATGCTCTAGACCCAAGTGAGCAAAAGCATCATGGAAGCAGCTGAATGCTAACGGGTCTATGAGTGCTTTTAGAACAGCAACTAACTTGTCTGATTGTGTGGTGGTCTCATAAAGGTGACATCCTTTTTCATCCTCTCCTCTGGGACAGTCGGGAACCCCATCGCAGAGCTGGACTGTCTCAATGCAGCTCCCTGGTGGTGGGCAGGAGAAGTGATCAGCAGGACACCTGGGCGGACTGGGCGCTGTAGATGAGGCAGGGGTGACAGACCATGGGAAGATGAAGAGGAGAATTGGGTTTGTGCATAAATGTTTAAACGTGTTAAAGACTACCAACCATAGCCGCATCCCATGACCTCAAGACGCAGATAGATGCCATTTTGGAAGTCATGAGGCAACAGGCGAACAAACTGGGCCAACACCATCCGGTTCAGCCTGCTCTCTGCCACACCTCCATCATCGTGGTTACCCTGAAAAACCTGCAGAGGAAACAACATGCCATCAGAAGACCTGGAAAGGGTAAAGAAGTTGTTTAGATGTTTTTGAGGTGTTGCAGTCTGACCTTGGTTCTGGGTAGTGCATCAGACACGAGCTCCTTGTAGCTGGACCACCGTTCCCCATCCTGACTAAACTGGAGGTAGAAGCTTGACACAAATGTGCCGAACATGCCCCCACCCTGGGTCAGCACACCTACAGACCACGACAGTTCAAACACAGCAGAAAGGACACATGTCTGACACATTAAAGGAGAAAGCATCACTCATAATTTTGTGAATGTAGCTAGATTTTAAAAGTAATCCCAATGGCTTAGGTTCCTTCTGAAAGTTCCTCTACATCAATATTCTTTGTTTCTTGGATGAGAACATTAATAACAAGCATTATAACTTATATGAATCCATAAAAAGAACCTTTACCAGTGATGTTGTATGCTTTCAGCAGGTCTATTTGTATGTAAGGGCTTTTTGTGTGGCCGGCGTGTCCCTCCGGGCTTCGCTGTGGCAGGTCTTTATACTCCTCTGGTTCTGGGCTCCAGCCCTGCAGATGAATGTTTTATTTATTGACACCTGCTGTTTCAAACTATTAGGGGCAGTGTAAGACACATTGTGCAGAGAAAACTGAGCAGTCATGCTGCCAGGTTAGGCCGTTCCCTGCACAACTGGAAGTTTGATTCTGAGCTTGTGGATGTCATTTGCTTTGGGTGGGTGGACATAATTGGGACAAGTTGGGAGTCAATTTGACGTTTCTTGAGCTAGCCTTTTGAAAACACCTTGGAACCAATCAATAATCGTTCTAATAAAAAAAAACAATGTCCTCTGACCTGTCTCCATCTCCACTGGCAGTGTGACTTTGACAGTGACTGCGTGTGTAACTGAGTGTGGCAGTGATCGACTTTTCCTCAGCTTTGATGTACACAGCCACATGATTTAGCTGCCTGCCTTACGACCAGCCACCATGGTAATCAGGACTTAGTCTGCTGGTGGATGGAAGTCTTACCCCAGAGGGTAAGGGTTTTATCAGATGTGCTCTTATCTTCCACCGATCCCCCAGGGCTGTCCTTTCTCCACTTTTATTTATTTTACACACAAATGGCACATCAGAGTTTGCTGATGACTGTAATTGTAATTATAATTATATATATATATATATATATATATATATATATATATAATTATATATCTATCTATCTCTCTCTCTCTCTCTCTCTCTCTCTCTCTCTCTCTCTCTCTATATATATATATATATATATATATATATATATATATATATATATGTCTATATATATATATATATATATATATATATATATATATATATATATATATATATATATATATATATATGTTCAACCCCATCTTCTCTCCAACCACATTCTTTCAGACCTGCAATCTGGTTTCTGGACTGGACATGGGTGCATGACAGCCACCATGAAAGTTATGATGATAGTATCACAGCATTAGACAGTAAAGCCTAATTTATACTTCTCTGTCAGATCCAAGAGGGAGAGACACGCCCTGATGGAGACAATTTGCCCTTGTTGAGAGGAGACTTGGGGCAGCTTCGCTGATGAAAAAGTTTGAGTTCCTCTCTGCGTGAAACCCTCTGACTGCCAGCCCTACTTACAGCTTGTTCTGATACAGCATGTCTTCCTACAGCAAAATGAAGGTGATTGTACCAGTAATAAAAATCTAGATTGCACAAGGTGGAATATCTCTCCACAGAGTAAGGGTGTTCATCAGGAGGGGTCTGAGGTCAAGCCCACCATACTGCACCGTGAGCCAAGGCCTTGAGATTTAACACCTAGAGTTAGCCAGGTGGCTTGGCTTGTGACATGGCACCCAATGTGGGGCTTTGACCTATTACATACCCGGGGCATCTGGTGGAGAGTGTAGAGTAGGGCTGCAACAAACGATTATTTGGATAATCGATTAATCGGATGGGGTCTCGACACGATTAATCGATTAATCGGATTACATGGGGAAATTTTTAAAAACTGCTAGGGAAACGTTATTTCTCTCCTTCCTTCACTTTATTTAACACAACATTATTAGAAAACAGTTCAATAGCAGAAAAACAACATGCCATCACCTAAATTGTCTTATAAGGTGTATAGACAGAGACCCTAAGCTACTTCTATCTGTGACCTAAAATGCTTGGTCCAAGTTAAACAGCTTAAAGAGCAAGTCACCCCTTACAACAAGCACACTTCACTCTCACTTCATGTTTGAAAAATGCAACAAATGCGGTTGCCTAGCAGACCGAGAGAGTGGAGCCACTAACAAATACACACACTCACGACATTGTGACATCATAATGTACCAGTTTACATCATAGTATACCTCTTAGCCAATAGTGGTGGCAGATTTAAATTCAAATACAGTGCAGAGTTTTTACCTGACAACGGCACAACTCTGAGTTTCAGGCAGAAAATTTAAATTTTAACTAAAATGCACTAAAGTGCCAAACTATTGACTACACATGTCTGCAGCACGATCAGACACGCATTTATATAGTTCATCAGAAAAAAATTGTTGATTTGGGGGTGACTTGCTCTTTAAGGGCAATTCTCATCTGTTTTGTTTGATCTCATCTGTTGACATTTATTTTAAATGTAATTAAACATAGGCTGTGAATTAATCAAAATTGATCACTATTTCCAAAAATGACTGAAAAAATACCAAATAAAACAAAAGTAAATGAATGCCATCCTCCTTGTGATGATGCCCTGGGCAACTGCCATAAAGTCACATCAAGAAATGCTGCTGATCATTCCAATGATCCCAAATAGACTCACATTAGGCCACATGAAAGCAACTGAACCCAAAAATATATTAACCAGTATATAACTGCACTCTCACACAACACGCCTGCAGCAAGAGTTAGGACTCCTCCCTCCCTTTTAAAAGCGTTTTTGCTTCTGAGGACATTGTGGTTGTAAAACCACATGCTAGTAGTCTGGCCCCGGTGTGATCAACCAGTTTCTGCGGGAATGTGACGGCGGAACCAGGGCCAGATTAACACTTTGTTGTACCCTGGGCAACAATATTCAAGGGCTCCATCATCACGACCCAAGGATCACCATAATGTGGTCACATACAGAATATTTTACTGTAATATGCAGTAAATATACTCAATACTTGAATGCCTGACAACACGTAACCCGCCCAGAGTAACCTTTGACCCACCTTGTGTGAACTGACCAATGAGGAGAGGGTCTTAACTTGAGGCCCTCTCTTCATTGGTCAGTCTGCATGAGACTGACTCTCAACTGACGTTCAGTCGTAGGCAGCGAAGCGTCTCTGTGCAGCGCAAAAGCCCGGGTGGACAGTTTGTTTAATGTAGGGTGACCATATTTCCATTTCCAAACAAGAGGACAGGGGATCTGTGCCTATGACGTCACACTATGGCAACGCCACACAAACCATGTTGGGACCCATTTTTTGTAAGAACTAAATTAATATCAGATTCTGCCAATTAAAGGGCTCTAAAACAATTCATATGTAAATATTTTGCATATTTAATGCAAAATCTAATTTTTCTGCTTTAGTGCTGCAACAAGGTTTTATTAATAATAAATTATTATACCTTTTGTTTTACTACAGCATCGGTACGCTTCCTGTGCACAGATTATTAAGGATGCTTGTTTCAGCTGTGAGATTAGACGATAGGATCAATGAAAAAATAAGTTGTCACACACTCCATGGAAACTTTCAGAGAATCCACAAATAGTGGCTTTCAAATGGTTTTGTTACTTTTTGCAAGTTTATAAAAGAAGCAGATGAGACAGCATGTCTGATAATTTAGTTTTTCATCTGATAATATTAGAACATGTCAGTAATGTCTGAGGGGCTTTTATAAACACCATATAACTAACACTACTGGAGAGGGCATGAATTACACAGAGGCTTCTGGGGAGCCCAGTTATTTGGGGGGGGGGGGGGGGGCATTTTGCCTTGGCCCCCAAAATGTCTTGAAACGGCCCTGGGTGTGTGACTGAGTTTTGAAGGTGATCTGAATTGTATCAGATGTATAAATATGACATGTGTAGAACTTATTGTTTTTTACTGGTAAAAACGTGTAGTGGAGATAAATCTACCTACATTTGACTTTTCAACACTTTTGTTTTGTTTTCTTGTTTTTATTTAACTATTTTCCTGTCCTGTCTGTCTCTCATCTTCCTGCATCTCCTCTTAATTCTCCAGAAAATCTGTTGCCTGGATTCTTACCTTTTCACCTCATCAGTTACTTTTGAGCAGATCAAAGGTCTCCTGACCGAAAAGCGCAGAGCGCGTTTTCGATGCTGCGTGAGGTGACATCACCACAGCACAGGTGATGAGCTCCACAGTAGCGAGCTTCAGGCACAAATAAGACAGAAAATAGAGAACATGTGCGGACATGAACAATCGTGTGCTAATTATAGTTTTTTGGTTGCGCCACTTTGAGAATGGACCGTGCGCCGGAAGCAGCCGCCTGGATCGCTGTGCAACAATGCGGAACCGGTTCGCAGCAGCGCAAGTCTGCCGGCTCTCCCTCGAGCTGATCTGCCGGTACCGGCTCTCCCTCACGCTGATCTGCCGGCTCTCCCTTGCGCTGATCTGCGGCTCTCCCTCGCGCTGATCTGCGGCTCTCCCTTGCGCTGATCTGCCGGCTCTCCCTTGCGCTGATCTGCGGCTCTCCCTCGCGCTGATCTGCCGGCTCTCCCTTGCGCTGATCTGCGGCTCTCCCTCACGCTGATCTGCGGCTCTCCCTCACGCTGATCTGCCGGCTCTCCCTCACGCTGATCTGCGGCTCTCCCTCGCGCTGATCTGACTTGCTCTGGTCTGCGCGCAACGGCGGGCGGGAAGGGGGGGCGCTTTTGGAAGAGTTGTGCGACACAACGAATCGATGACGCAATTCGTTGCCAACGCTTTTAGTAATCGATTTTCATCGAATTTATCGATTCGTTGTTGCAGCCCTAGTGTAGAGTGTCCGGAACTGGGAAAATTCCCCACAAGGGGGAAAGACTCAATAAGAGGCCAGCTGCAGGTAAAGGGACCGCATAGGGACCCTAGCTTTTATTCTGGGTATAGCAGCCAGATATGTAGGACACCCTATAGAGTGATATTCTCGTAGAAAGGAAGGGTAGTCCGGCTTGGCCTAGGGCACATGGTTCATGAGAAATGTGAGTGGCCACATTAGAGAGTCTCTTCAGAAGGAAAGTGAGTAGCCTCGTTAAAGATTCTCACAAATAGAACGAGACCACAGGTTGCAAATCCGAACCCCGGGGATGAAATCAAATCAAATCAAACTTTATTTATATAGCACTTAATCATACAATGCATGCAAGTCAGAGTGCTTAACAAATTAAAATGACCACCCATACCCACATTCCCTCCCATCCCGAGGATTTTTTTTTCCCCCCATGTCCTGTCTGGCTGTGAAGCAAGCAGAATTAACGTCTGAATGCTGGTGACAAGCCTTACAGATTTACTCTCAGGTGGAGCATCAAAGCTTCTGCTTTTAATGTCACGCCTGATACTTAAAACTTTATTGTTATT